TTTTAGGAGAAACTTTGATATGCACTTGACTTTGGTAATTGTGCCCAACTATTACTCCTGTCCTACTAGCTCACAATGTGAAGTAATATTCATGACACACAAACTCCAGTGTGAATAAAGGAAATAGGAATTTTGAGTGGATTATATACAATTCTAGATTGAAAATGAAAACCTCACTCTATCTTCAAGTCAAGAAAGAACATTATAAATGATTGGCCAGGTTCCCACAGCACCACGCTGAGCTTGCCTCCAGGCCAAAGATGGCTATGCCTCCCATGTAGTCGATCAGGGTAAATCGGCTAGCAATGGCCTCACCAAGGGCTATAGATTTGGCTTGATCAAATGTCTCTTGGAAATAAAATCTGAGTATATAGTAAAATTTGCCAGCTAATGCTCAGAGAGACCACCAAAATGATAGGGATCTGGGAACTAAGTGTAGCTAAACTGAGCACACCCAGAGAAAAGGCACATGACACCATCGGGGAAGTAAGTGAAGGGAGACTGAGGAAGCTCAGAGGAAGGGCACGTGGCACCACATGGGAACTAAGTGAAGGGAGACTGAGGAAGCTCAGAGGAAAGGCACATGGCACCACCTTTTGTTGCCATGTGCTGCTAAGTCACCAACTGACTCACTGTTGACTTTCAAATGAGTTTTCAGAGGCTGTAAATCACACAGGAGAAGACTGCCATTTTTGTCTTGTAGAGCAGCTCGTGGATTTGAACCACATACCTTTGGGTTGACAGTGTAACTCCTTACTATTAAGCCACCAAAGCTCTCTATGACAGCACACAGGGCATCAAGATTACCAAAGGCAACTTACTTGCATGTGGACTGAATACTAAACACCTTTGACTCATACTCCTCACCTAACACTGGGCAGGGACAAGCTACACTTGATAGGGTGGAAACACAAGCATACCAGGTGGGCTGCTGTGTGGTCGTGGATCTTGTCCTGCACCAGCAGTGGGGTAGCTTCTTGGAGCCCCAGCTACCAGCTAAGGGTGGCCCCTGGGCTTGTGAGCACATTGTGATACCACTCGGAATTCAAACTGGCCATGAATGCACCATTCAATTTATTTTTAGCTGTTCAATGGGAATATTTTAGTGTTCCATTTTAATAGAATTAGATTTTCCCTTTAAAATACTATAACACCATTTAAACCCTGAATAAAATATTTAAACCTAAAAAAACCCTGATTTGTCACAATCACTACTTGCAGTGAACCACTTATGTGTCATATAAAAATTCATGAAGTCCCACTCTTCAAATGTATTACTTACTCAAAAAGTGTATCATGAAAAGTGTGGAGATTTTTAAGATTAAACAAGGTATTTTTGTTGTGTGCCTTAGAGTTGGAACCAACCCAGAGGTGACCCATTAGTGAATTTTAAGAAGCAGTAAATCTCATGGGAAGAGACCATCCATCCTTCTCCTGTGCAGCCAGATGGATTTGAACCATGTGCCTTTGAGTTTACAGCACAGCCTCTTACCACCCAGCCAACCAAATGAACAAGATAGATAACAGGAATATAGAAAGAAAATCCCAACTAGAGCTAAAAGGAAACGAGGAAGAGTATGACCCAGGCACAGCAGCCAGCATTTCTGGAGAAAACACGTGATGCAGCAGAGAGGTAGCCAAACATCCGTCTGGAGCAGAGGATTTTCAAACAGATCCTGACCGTCCACGGACAGAGAAGGGAATGAGAAACACCACAAGCAAAGGCCACACTGGGAGCAATCTCCTCACCGCTGGATGATCCAAGAAGTAAACATTTTGGCTGGAAAACTGGGTGTGTATAGGGTGAAGTCTAAAATGTCAAAATGACAAAGGTTGGTGGACAAATTCCCGAGGCTCAGAAGACCAGACAAATCCAGCTGTTGTTGAGTGGATTCCCACACTGCGAGCCTCAAGGAGAGTCGAGCTCCTCAAGGTTACCTGCTTTAATTTTTTTTTTTTTTAACATGCTTTAGTCTTTGGGAACTAGACGGCCAGTCCCAAGCATTGGTTAATAGGTGAACCTCTAACCTTGAACACCACCCAGAGCCTCTTTCCTAAAAGGTGACTGTAATTACTCAATGTTGTTTTTGTAAAGCATCACGTAAGAAGCATAGTGACATAAGAGACAGAGCAAAGCTGCTCCCTAGTTTCTAAGGCTGTGGTCTTTATGGTAGCTGACTGCCCCACACGGCACATTTTATACCAAATACTGTCACAGTGATGGAGGATACTAGAGAAAATAAAAGATGTATAGTCTCAGTTTGAATGCTCGCAGAAATTAAAGAAAGCAAACACTCTTTAAATAATCAAACCATTTAAGGTGGCATCAGTGGCATGAGCCATGAAATTGAGTTCTTACTAAAGACTTACTAAAACCATGATTTGGAAAAATTTTCCTTGAGAAAGTTTCACTAGAAATTACACTTGAGGGTTAAAGAGGGACTGAAAAACCATGGCACAACGGGGTAACAGAACACAAGGTGATATCCCCTCAGGAGACACACACCAAAGGCCCCTAGAACTTCCAGACTGAAAGGCAAGGAAGCTGATGTAACTTCCAGATTGAAAGGCAAGGAAGCTGGAGGTGAAATAAACTAGAAGGCAGGACAAGGTCAATCACCATAAAAGAGATCAAAAGCATTTCCATTTCACCAACGAACAAACAAAGGCCCCCAACATCAAGGAGCAAAAAACCCTCAAAGCCATCAAAGTGTCTCCAAGGTAGCATGCTCCTCATCTATGGAAGAAATAATAGAACAAGGGTAGGAGTGGGATCATTAGGTCTCAAATATAAAGTTCAACAATGTTTTCATTTCACCTATTGTTGCTAGTTGCAGTCAAGTCATTCTATCTTGTAGCAGAAGAAATTCCACCTGCTCCTGCATCACTCTCACAATTGTTGCTGTTAAAGCTTATTATTGTAGCCACTGTGTAAGTCTATTTGGACTAGAGTCTTCACCTTTTTTTAACCCTGTATGATGGCCTTCTCCAGACATTGGTCCCAAATTGTGTTGTTATTAATGTTCTGTGTCATCGAGTTGCTTGCGACTCATAGCAACCCTATGAACAATAGCTCTGAATTCTGCTCTATCCTGAGCCTATGTCATTGTCTCTGACACACCTATCCACATTAACCCTGTTACTGTGTCAATTCATTTCATCTGGGATCTTCCTTTCCTGTGCTGTTCCTGCACCTTTCCAAGCATGACATCCCTCTCCAATGACTAGTTCTTCCTGGCCACTTGCCCAAAGTGAATGAGATAGTAAGCAGGGGGATATAAGATGGATGGACTTGGGGAAATAACAGACTGTGAGGCTAGTTATGAGGACACTATTTCAATCAAGAAATAACAATGGCATGATTCTTACAGTTTTACTCTTAAGAGGAGATACACACCTTCAAAAGCAATGGTAGATTCTTTTGAACTGTAAGATAGGAAAATATATGCACATACATACACCTCACTTACATTTTTAGAAGCATAACCTAGTCTTAATTATTTGAGAAGCAATATTTGCATTCTTTTTGTAAAGGGATGCATCTTTAACCTAGTCATTTCCTAAGATTTTTGTCTTAATAGACAAAAGTTGCTGGACAACCAGGTTTATTCCTATTTAAAAACCTAATTCAGTTTTAAATGACTCCTATTTATAAACTATTTAAATTTATAAGAGGTTGTAATTAAGTGCTAAACAAGAAGGAAACTGATATATTAATTAAATCGCAGATATAAAATGGAATTGTGCACAGCTATTAAAAAGATTGAAAATACCTATTGTTGTTTTGTTGTTGTTCATTGTCATCAAGTGGAGCAGGACTCATAGTAACACTATGAACAAAAGACCTGAAGACTTTCTGTAACTTTCTATACCTACTGACATTTATCAAAGTTCAAGAGAGTTTCCAGAGGCATGTTGTTTAGGAAGTGGATGCCCATCTATGGAGAATAAGTGAATTTCACGCAAAAGTGTTACCACCAAGACGAGTAATGTGGTGAAATATAGTCCTCTAGACTTGGTGTAAAAGCCAGAAGTATACTCTTGTGATACAGGCTGAGTGTCTTTAGAAGGAAATGTCAGAACGCATTAATTGCATGGGAGACGATCAAACTGCAAGCCTTTAGGACTGCAGTGCAGCTTCTTGCCACTAGGCCACCAGAGCTTCCTGGAAATGTCAGAACTTGTGCATGAAAGCCAGAAGTATATTCCTGTGGCACAGACAGAGTATCTTTAGAAAGAAATGCCGAACTCAGAATAGCCAACATGTCTGGAGAGGAGAAGTGTTAGCTGGGGTATGTAGCTGAGACTTTTTCTTTCTTCTGTTAGATCTTTTAAAATGACTTTTGACTTTTTAATCAAATATAACCTTTTTATTATAGAAAATAAGAAACATTCTGAAAGAGGATGGTAGTAGTCAGAATCCAGGTAGGAACTGTTTGTGTTCCAGACATTGTAAAGGTTAACTATTCATGGCTTGGTCAAGATGCTATGACTGAGGAAAAGGTGGCACTGAGAATACAATCATAGTTTTTAGTCCAAGATGTACCAATGTAAGAATGAGAAAGTGGATCAGACAATACAGAGGCATGCTTAGTTTACTTTTGGACTTATTCAGATTAAGGCACCAGTTTTACAGCAAGAGTTAGAAGACATATTTCTGTGACATTAACATACACTGTTCTTTGGATAAAAGTCTATTAGATTTTGAGATGTTCTTAATTAAAGACCTAATGTTTTTCCTTTCCACAAATATTTAAAAGTGTTTCTACTGCTAATCCGGAAGAATTATTTGACAATGCCTGTTGGAGAACAACAACTGACTGTACTCCCTGGAGCAGGGGGAACTGCCAGGCGTGGGCACCGCAGACGTGGGCATATGAGAACCAAGGGACCATGGCTCTGACTACAATTTACCTTTCTCTCCTAATCTGCTAGTATCCTCATCCCCTTGTTTCTAAAGCTGTCACATGCATGTTGATGAATCCATTAGTGATCCTTACTTTATATCCTCATCGTTGGCAAATATCACCACGGCCCTGGAGTTGGGGGTGTCCAGGAGCTGTTTGATAATTCTGTCAAAATCAATGGTCCTGTCTTTGCGTTCTTGGGGAATTCGCACGGACTGGGCAATGCAGAGCCCACCTGTTCAAGAAAAAAAACAAAGTGTCAGTACAGTTCCTACAGTCATCACCGGAACTTAGGAAGTTGTGTTTGCGTGTGCTCCTTTGATGATACTACTGAGTTGGAGGTGGGAAGTCCATCAGATGGCATGCTGACCTCTGACTTACTGCTCATTCTTTCTTGCTTTCTTCATTTTTTAAAAAAGCAAATCTCCATCACATTCAACTTGTAAATATCAGTTTTATACAATATTAAAAATTAAGACAATAATAGGAATGTCAATCAACATAAATCACAGCTGCAAAAACTTATTAACCACACACCATGTGACTGTTTTACACGTTACCTCACTTAATCCTCTTAAAATCTGGTATTTTAAATTAAATGCACTACTATAATTAAAAAGAAAAATAAAAACAGACTGGAAATAATTGTACACACATACACTTGAAATTGTTTTACACTGTAGTAATCTGTCCACAATTTGGTGGTGATATGCTTTTCAAAATAAAAGAATGATAAAGAAATACATAAAGATTAAAAAACTGGTAGTTAATATTTTTTCATTTTATATAGAATTCACTCACTCATTTATAGTTATCCAGGTAAACTGACTCACAGCTGACCCAACTGCAGCTTCCAAAGCTGTGAATTGCAGAGGAGGAGATTTCTCATCTTCCTCTTTAGGAGCTTCTGGTAGATTCAAACCCCCAGAGGTGCTGCCTCTATGACAGCAGCATACTCCCTGTGGCCTAGATCACCAGAGCTCCTTCTACTATGAGGAAGAGAAATTGAATAGATAGAATTTTTCAGAGGCTTTAGGATATTTATGTATATTATGAGTTCACTTATGTGCCACTCATGCCCTCGGCCTTCACTAGCACTTGACAAAGATTGATTTAACCAACACTTGAGTAGGTAAAAGTACCAGGGAAGTTGTTTCGAGAAAAAGCCCTAGTGACAATAAAATGTAGAAGAACTGGGACAAAGAAAAGAGGAAAGGTCTGTGCTATTTAAAAGGTATTTTGGAGGAATCTTCTCTGGTAGGACCCCCAAAAAATTACTCCTGTCACCAAAGCTCCTAGATCATCTCAGTAGATGGAGGGAGTAAAGAAAAGAATGTGCCAATGACCACAGTAATAACAGTCATAATGTTAAAAGATGTGTTGAATTGGGAAAATCTGTTGTCAGTGACCTCTTCAAAGTGCTAAAGAAAAGGATACCCATTTAAAGACTGAAGTGCACTAGATTCAACTCACTGTTTTTATCTCTTCCTATGTATCTCAACAATGACTAGGGATGATAGAAGGAGAATTGAAGTCTTTGAGCTGTGGTGCTGGAGAAGAATATTGAGTGTACCATGGATGGCAAAGAAAACAAAAGGTTCATCCTGGAGAGAGTGAGACCAGGCTGCTCCTTGGAGGCAAGTATTCTGAAGTTTCGTCTGACATACTTTGGATATGTTGTAAGGAGGGACCAGTTCGTGGAGAAGGATGTCATGCTTGGGAGGGTGGAGGGACAGCACAAAAGATGAAGACTTTTTCTTTTTTTTTTTTTTAAGAAGAAGACTCTTGATGAGATGCACTGATTCAGTGACTGGAGTAATAGGGGTGAGCGTGTCAGAGACAATAAGATTGGCATAGGATAGAGCAGGTTTAGTGTTGTTGTTCATAAGGTCGCTGTGACTTACTGACAACTCAACGGCACATAACATGCATCTCAAAGTTGGACAATGGATAAAGAAGACGAAAGAAAACTGATAATTTTGAACTGTGTTGTTGGGGAAGAGTACTGAATATTTCATGGACAGTTAAATGAACAAACATATCTGTTTTGGAGGAAAAGGAATTACAGTACTCTTTAGAGATAATGATGGTGAATCTTGGACTCACGTACTCTGGGCATGTTGTGTCAGGAGAATTCAGTCCTTGGAAAAAGACATCATGCTGGCAAAGGTAGACAGTCAAAGAAAGATTCTCAACTAGATGTACAGATATACCGACTACCGTGGGTCTGACCATGGTGGAGGCCATGATGATGGTGTAGAATAGGTCAAGGAGATGTGTTGTTTATCAGGTCGCTATGAGTCATAGTTGACCTTGTGGACATCAAAACACCGTCACAACATACTCTATGAAAAATTAACTTCTGGTGGATAATTATAACAATAAAAACTGTCACCATATGAATTCTTGTGCTCTGTTGGCTAGTGGCAAGAAGCTGTACTGCAATCCTGAAGGCATGCAGTTAGAGGCCACTGGCCGCTCTGCAGGAGAAAGTTAGACAATCACCTCTCATGAGATAATTGCTCCTGAAAACTGCCAGCTGGTCAGCAATGGGTCGGTTCCGATCCAAACAGATCCAACAACAAAAAGAATTCTTACTCACACTTCTTAAGGTACATACAGAGTCTGTATGTCTGAGAACTTCGAAATGACACCAAAGAGAAATGTGAAAGAAAAAAATATAATGAATGTGATTCCATGAAAATTTTTAAATTCACTTTATGAAAGACCCAAAGATCAATCTATCTACTTATAGTAGATTGATTGCTATTTTGCAAGGAAACAAAACCCATTAACTGAGGAAAAGACATAATTAACAAAAGGTACTGGCAAAACTGTTATCTACCAAAGAACTGAAACAGGATTCACATCTCATTCCATGCATTCATACACACAGAGATCATCAGAGACAATATAGAAGGGAGAGAAAAAGAACTAGATAGCAGAATTTAGTAGACAGATCGAAGGTGTGAAGGAATAGACTAGGTAATTTTGCTGTTGTTGTTTTTGTTGTTGTTGTTGTTAGGTGTTATCAAGTCAAGTACAACTCATAGTGACCTGATGAACAAAAGATCTGAACTCTGTTCTGTCCTGTGCCTACGTAATGGTAATGACAAGTTACAGATCAATTACAATTAATTATGTGAAACACACGTATAGAAAAGATTGTACAAAACCAAATGTTTATGAAACAGTATACACAAATGATTATATAAACGTCAACAATTATATAAAACACAATATAAATGAATAAAATTTCTCTCATAACACAAGGAAATGCATTATTCTGACTTCATTTACTGATAAATTTAAAAACAAAACAGAACCCAAAAACCCTCACAAAGACAAGTTAGAAATAGTCTAGGAGAACATATTTCTAATTCACACATCTGAAACAGGATGTAAGTTGAAGTATGTAAAATAAAAGAAACTCCATTTTTAAAAAACGAGCAAAATATGTGAATAAGCACTTATTCAGACAAAAATACATACATTACAAAGAACATGAAGCAATGCTGTACACCCTAAATCATTAGTGGTCTCTTGTGGCCTCATAGTAAGGACTTCTACTAACAATTCAAAGCCACATGGTTTGAATCCACCAGCTTCTCTGAGAGATAAAGATGGGCAGTCCCCATCTACGCAACTTATAGCCTCTAAAAACCCAGCTGTTCCACAGGACACAACTGCTTCTCAAAACCTGTTAAAGAGTCAATAAAATGGTTCTGACCCAACGGCACGTAACAACAAAAGCCTTATTCATTAGAAAACAGAAATGAAAATGACAATATTCTATCATGAATCACATACTATAATAGTTGTTATGTAAATAAATAAAAAAAATACAAAATCTGAGAGAAAATGTAGAGCAACAAGAATACTCATTCACTACTAGTGGGAATACGAAATGTTAGTGTCACTTTGAAAAGTAAGTTGGCATTGCCTCAAGATGGTAAATATTTTTTTCCATAATTTATCATTGCACTTGCAGGTATTCACAAAAGAAAATAAGAATGTTATATTCACTCAAAAATACATGTTAGTGTTTGTTTCTCCAAGTTCCTCCTTGGAGGCTAGGATTTTCTTTTAACCACAAAATAATTTATTAGAGTTGGAAACCGCACTGTCCTATTTAAATATGGAAGATGATAGTACCACTTTGTTTTATTGCTGTTTTGGTTTTTTTAAGCTTTACAGTGGTTTGTGTAAAAAAATCATATATATCTATCCATATATTTTGTCTATTTATATACTTTGGATTCCATGCATTCTTTGTTCACTTACACTGTGTTCTACATTATCATTCCCACATATTTTGGTGGGTTATTTTTATATTACTTTTTTAATTGGTTTGCATGTAAAGTTTATATACATTGTGTTTCACACTGTTCTTCATTCACGTTCTTTCATACAACCTTAGGCACTGTTTTATAAAATTAATCTTTATTAGACCTTGCCCATCATTATTACCCTGTCTTTTTACCCAGGTCCTTCCCATTTGCCTCCTCCATTCCCACTGCCCACCACTGTCCAGCCCTGTGTGTCACTCCTACTTATCATTACCTCTCTGCTGACCCCCACCCCATCACAGTTCCTGTACATGTTTTACTACTTATCCTTCCATTTTTACAATAATGGTCTTATACAGTACTTGTCCTTATGAGGCTGTGTTAGTTTACTCAGCAAAATAATCTCCAGCCTCTCCCAAGTTACATAGTATTTTTTAAAATTGTTGCTCCTTAGTGCTGCACAGTATTCCATTGTGTGAATGTACCACAGTATTTAAATCCATTTGGTTGTGGTTGGACATTTGGGACTGTTTCAATGTTCTTGGGATCGTTAATAATACTGCTATGAACATTTATGTACAGCTCTCCATTTGTGTCTCAGTTCTAATTCCTGTGGGGTATATTCCTAACAGTGGAGTAGCTGGGTCATATGGAATTTCTATGTTCGGCTTTTTAAAGAAACATCAAACTGTCTTCCAGAATGATTATATCATTTTACAATCCCACAGACAGTGTATGAGAGTTGCCACCTCTTCACATCCATTCCAATATTTATGACTTGCTTCCCTAATAACCTTTGCCACTACTGTTGGGTTAAGATGGTATCTCATTGACAAGGAAGCCCACTATCACCACTTCTATTTGATAGTGTATATGAAGTACTTGCTAGGGCAATATGACAAAAGAAGGAATTAAAAGGCATCTAGATCGGCAAAGAGACGGTTAA